CAACGTTAAAAAGCAGGGTCGATGATGCGTGCCGGGTCACGCATCATGAGCCCTCCAGGGCGTTTGGCGGCCCTCCAAAAACGCAAAAACACATGGTATTTACGATGTTGTCGGCACTTCCAAACGTTTGGGACCCCGCTCGGAGCCTTCCCGGGGCTCCCCCCGGAGCCTCATGCAAGGAGACATGCCGTTTTCAGGGCGGGTCGGCGGCACGGGCCGCATAAAGGCAAGCCTTTAGGCTAGCCGTGCTCCGCACTGGACCACGACGGCCAGGCCGGATTGAATGGCTGCCGCCAATGCCGCCGACCCCGAAAGCGCGGCAGCGCGGTGACCCGCCGGCAGAGCTGGCCGACGGGCCGGAGGAGAAGCAGACCTCGCCACACACACTTGGTGCGCTACCTGCTGCAGCAAAGGAGGGGCGGGGTGGAGCCGTTGAGAGGCGTGATAGGGAGGCAGGGGAAGGGGTGGGCGGTGGGGCGGGGCTGGGCAATCAAGGTAGGACAGGAAGGAGGATGGTGGAGGCGGTGTGGGCGGTGGCGGGGCTGGGCAATCAAGGTAGGACAGGAAGGAGCCGTCAGAACGGGCGGAAGGGGAGGGGAGACCCTTCGGGATTACACTGACGCCGACAGCGGGGTCGGCGGATATTATGATATTATGATATGACTATCTGACTCACTATATAGTCTTTCTAATTTCATCTTGTGCAGCTCAGCTCAGGACTGGGTCGCGGTGAAAATCGCAAGGGCCTCGGAGCACTTGGCAGGCTTTTTTTGCAAATATCATCTATATAAAATATTATAGCCATGTATAATGGTAACATGGTATCGTAATATTGTTAACGTGCAATAATGTAGTTCCCTGGGCATTGCAGGTCTGCAGCTGTCAAGGACCTTGCCACCTTAAGCATGGGCACAGTTCTGGGCTCCCCGAGATGTCAATCCACAACCCCATGCCCTCCCTACACCCTAAACCCTAAACCCCTAACCCCTAAACCCCTAAACCCCTAAACCCCTAAACCCCTAAACCCCTAAACCCCTAAACCCCTAAACCCCTAAACCCCCTAAACCCCTAAACCCCTAAACCCCTAAACCCCTAAACCCCTAAACCCCTAAACCCCTAAACCCCTAAACCCCTAAACCCCTAAGCCCAAACCCTAGACCCCTAAACCAAAATGGTCTTCTTTCCCCTCGGTCCTGCCGCCCTTTGCACCGCCCAGGGTGAGAGGGCCATCCCGGATGAGTCCCGGGCCTTGGGCGCGTTGTACCACCTTGGGATGTTTTGGTAAACCCCAAGCTGCCCTGAACCTTGAGGGTTTACGGTTTAGGGTTTAGGGTTAGGGCTAAAACAAAGCCAACCCCCCCCCCCCCCCAAGAAAAGACCCAAGGGACCCAACCAAGGTCGGTAGGAGGGCGTTTGTTGTCCCTGCCGAAGCTTTGGAATCATTCTCTGGGAGATATGGGAAGTATTGGCTGCGGCCTCTGCAGCATTGGCGGGTATAAAGCTCTGTTAGAAGCTTTATGTAGATGAAGATGTATATTTGTAAGGCGCGTACATAAATTGCCCTCTGTTATAAAGCTTTATGCAGTACATTTGCAATTCCTCCAAGGGGCATTTTTCCTGGAGTTCGTTTTTGTTTTAAGGCCCTAAGGGGTATTTTCTGTACTTCGTTTAGCCTCCACAATTCGACAGTGGGGCTGTTGACCTGCATTGTGCCTTCCACGGGTAGTGCGGGGTGGCCGTCCCCATGGTTCTTAGAAAAGGCGCATGATAGTCACGACGGTTTAGGGTTTAGGGTTTAGGGTTTAGGGTTTAGGGTTTAGGGTTTAGGGTTTAGGGTTTAGGGTTCAGGGTTCAGGGTTTAGGGTTTAGGGTTTAGGGTTTAGGGTTTAGGGTTTAGGGTTTAGAAAGAGGTAAGGTTTATCAGCCCCCACTGAAACCGGAGCAGTGAACGGGGTCCAAACCTCGCAGAAGCTTTGTGTTTCATGGTGTTTCTAGTAGTCCAGGCTGGAGAGTTTTTTCTGCAAGTCGCGAGACCCTCTCAGATGTATGCTGTGGGGCCAAAGCATGTAGGCATGCCTCCAAGCTGACTCGGGGCACGGATATGGATAAATCGCTACATGGAAATATCCTCAACATACCCCCAAAACAACTGCAATCCTTATAACCCCCCCCCCCCCCCCAGAAACGAGTACCACCACTTTGGGGGAACATTGAGTCCTAAACCCCCTCCCCATAGAGCTCCCCACAAACGGCTGCAATGAGGTTTGCGGAGGCGATGCAAATAATTCAGAAAAATGCCAGGACCTCAGTTTGTGTTCGTCGAGGGGTTTAGGGTTCAACGATACGGTAGGCACATGCACTTTGGCACGTGACTATGCACATCGGCATGTTCAGATGGACTCGCCTGCGTATGGTTGTGGTCGGTATGGTCAAGGCGGTGGCGGATTAGGATTTTAGGTCTGCTGCCGGGCTTTTGGGTCAATGCTCAATGCGCACAGTGGTGTTTCTCCGCGTTTTCCTGCGATTCCTCTTCGTTCTCCACATCAGGTCATGAGTCTACCAGAGAGAAAATGAAACTGGAGGCCTGGGAGTCTCCAACTCTCCTGCACCCGAAGCCCTAAACACCCGTGGCCACCCTTTTAGTCCATATCCGGTTCACCAGCATTACGGAAGCGGTATTGACTGTGCCAAAAAGAGGGTACCTTCTTGGAACGAGGGGGGAGGCAGGGGTTGAGGAAGGGCGCGGTTTAGGGTTTAGGGTTTAGGGGTTGGGGGCCTGGATTGGATGGGACTGAAAAAGTTGCCAGCGCAATCCCTTTATCATTCTAAGAGGATGGCACATGGCTTGGAGTCGTGGGTGCTTTGCGCTGTCCCTGATGACGCTTCCAACCGAGTCCTTTCCCCTCGAGCCAGGTGACATCTTGGCGGATGCTCCAGATAAAAAAGCTGAGACATGCCGCCTCCGGGCTTTAGCGCTAACTGGTGGGGTTGGCTAGAGTATGCTGGCTAGGGTATGCTTGGACTTCGACAGGTGGGTCTCAGTTCTTGAGCGAGCAGGACGAGTTTCGGATTCAAGCTTTCATGGCTTTGATGTCGTCCCTGGGTGTACGTTACGAAGATAACGGGCAGGCTGCAATGTCGGGCCTGCAACTTATAGTCGTAGTAGCACGTCTCACCTGCAATCCAATGGCCTGAGGCTCTGAAGACCCTGCACAGACATGCAGCGAAGTCACTACAAGTCCTTGAGTCTGCAGGCTGCTAGGAGCCTTGGTGTTTTGCCGCCTCATCTTGCAACCGCTTGAGAGGGTGTCTCTTGAAGGGCGCGAAGAATCCACGCAAGAATGCCACGTAGTTAAGCATATAGTGCAGATGCATCCGCGCGCTCCGCTTCTACCGAAGTGCAATCCCCTGCACCCTGCACACTGCGAGCTGCCAGAAGCAACTTGACGATGATCGAAGGTGTCGCCCTAAACCCCTTCTGCCTTATACCCCAAGAACCAGTTTCGCCTCAAACCCTGAAGCCCCTAAACCCTAAAGCCCAAAAACCCTGAACAGTCTCAGAGACAGACCTCGCAGAATTTGCCATTTTTGGCGGCCTAGGTTTTGTGCTTGGGCTCTCCCGACCGAATCCGCTCTAAGCTAAGAATAGTAGAAAAAGCCCCATGTGACCTACAGCTCCTGAGGGAATATTTTCTTTGTTGAGAATCACCCCCATGTAGGCTCTACAACATCTCATGACCTGGAGCTTCCGGAAAGATTGTGTATATTCTTTGCCATATCCTAAACTTAAGGGAAGTATATAGGGTTCCTTTAAAAGTATAGATAGCATCAGCTCAGGAACTACGCATACAAATTGGAGACAAGCACTGCGCGCATCGTTTCATCCTGCATCCGCGGTGAAGGGCTACTCGGGCAGAGCTGTGTCGACAGAAGCTTGCCGTTCACGCTTTTCTGAGAAGGATACGTGTTGCACAACTGTTTTCCACATACCTGGGACTCTCTGTACCTCAAGTTTAGTAGTACTTACCCTTAGTCAGTAGGTATGACCCATAAAACTCTAGGTAAAAAAAGGTCCCAGGTACTCTGTAAACAAATGCCGAGAAACAGAAACCCTAAACCCTAAACCCGAAACCCTAAACCCTAAACCCTAAACCCACCAGAGGCCTGTATAGTCGCAGGCAACAGCTCGCCCTCTCGCCTTCGTCTCACCGGCGACGAGTTAAAATCTTGTCGTCGCGATGTGTACCCTGGAGACCCCGCAAGAGCCCCGTAAACGATTCGGGGGGTTTACGAAAAAATAGGAGACGCCCAATACAGACCCCCAAAGAGTAGGATCCCCTTATAATAAGGACCCCAATGAGGTACCCCCAATCTCGTAGACCCGCATCTGAAGCCCCGGCAATTTAGCCCTGAGACCCTCAACGCGCTGGACGTCGCTGGACCCCTGACTTCTCGAGGTCTCGAGGTGGCTTGAAGCAGAAACCCAGCGCAGCTGCAGCAAAAAGAGCGCCCCGGCTTCTCCGCGCAAAACGCCGAAGTGTGAATCGAGGTGGGACTAAGCAGACCTTTGTAACAGGGCTTCTGACACTTGCTAGCTCCAAACGTGCAACACAGGGCGCATGAGCATCGCAGACTTCGGAAGTCCCCCTTCAGGATGTTTGGCGGAACTGGACAGTACCCGGAAAGGAATGCCCAGAATGTTGGACATTTGCCAGGGGGGGATATAACCCCTCCCGAACGCCATCATCCTCATCGGAAACCACCCCCCCGCCCCCCGAAAAACAATGAAGGTGCGCCTTTTGTGTCTACAGTGTGTCAGGAGTTCCGAACCCTAAACCCTGGAAACCCTAACCCTATAACCCTCAACCCTCAACCCTCAACCCTCAACCCTCAACCCTCAACCCTCAACCCTCAACCCTCACCCTAAGTCCTAAGTCCTAAGCGAAGGCCATCTCCGTCCTCTTAGTTGCCTGTTGCCTTGGTGAGTTCATCCTTGCGAGGGCGTCGTGGTGGCAAAAGTGAAGTCGTCATTTCACCCAAAGCCTGGCCCGGGAAGGCCGGATCGGGGCAGGGTGGGGGGGCGGTGGGGGGTTTGGGGTTTGGGGTTCGGGGTTTAGGGTTTAGGGTTTAGGGGTGGGGGGGGGGGGGGTTGGGGGGTTGGTGGGGGGTACTGTAGGGGTTTTTGAGCTTTGGGTTTCTCAAAGCCGGCTTTCCTAGTTGAGGTCAATGAGGGCTTAGGGTTTAGGGTTTAGGGTTTAGGGTTTAGGGTTCAGCATCTCAAGTCCAAGCACTAGTCAAGCAGCTTGTCAAGCGTTGGAAAAAAACCCACCCACCCAAGAAACCCATAACATTGAGAAAATACAAAGTTCACTCAATACACTCCGGTAGGCTTATGCTCTAACTCTCAATCCCACCAGCCCCAAGCCTCAAATTTTGTTCAAACCTGTGGCGGGGGGATGGGGGGGGGGGGGGGGGGGGGGGGGGGGGGGGGGGGGGGTGGGGGGGGTGGCCCGAGGTTTAAGGACTGGTTTTCCTGCAAAGCAGGGCAATTCGTCGAAGTCGGGTTGGATTCCCAAAGCCTACATCTTTGTAGGTCATCTTCATACCCCTTTCTAGGATTCTTGGGCAACCTACAAAAAAGTAGGCCCAAGGTCGTGGCTGCATCAGTTTTCACTCACATCATCACTTGTCGAAGAAGGGTCAGCCGACAAGCGTTAAGCTCACTAAGAGGTGTCAAGAAGCCTGGCTCGTGGTTCTATCGACTCAAACCTCCTCCTTGACCCCGGATCCATGCCCCTGCGGCGTCCCCAATTTTGGGGTCTAATAGTATTCCCTTATGGCCCCCTTTATAGTTCTACTACCAGAACCCCCAAGACCCTATTCTAATTCTTCTGGCCCCTTTTTGTTGACTGACTTTGTCCTCCACCATCCGGGCAGGACGCTGCAAGCTGAACCCAGGCCGGCTGCTGCCTTGTGCATACAGATAATTTTAACGCTACTGCCCAGCGGCGCAGCATCCCAAATCGGGAGTCGAGCAATCATTCCTTTTGAGGATCCTGTTGTAACATACAAGTCCATGTTTCGACCAGGCACCCCAAATCTGGCAGGGGTGCAACGATAAAAACAAACCAGAGGGTAGGGTTCAAGAGTAGGGGCAGCCGTTCTAAGCCAAAAGTGTCAAATACCTGCTTTATGTGAAGACACCTAAGGCCCGGATTCACATGTCATGCAGCCAAATCTTCTAGCTCAAGCACACCTGTTCCGTAGTCGAAGAAATTCTCAATATGTATGCGCCCACATCCATGGCCTTAGTCTGCCGAAGCTTAAGCCACATGCTAGATGTGAAGCAGAGTCCATCAGTTCTGGTGATGTACACCCCGCAGCCCTTTTAAGTAAAAGAATCCAGGGCTATGAAACAAAAAGCAAAGCCCTCCACCACACTTTCTTCCGACACAACGCCACTTCACAAATGGAATTTCCGAACCTCGAGTTCGCATAAGGACCCATCAGACCTCCCAGAGGCGGTCAGTTGCAGTTTATTTGATTGATTCTCAGCATGAACCTGATCGATCAACGCACTACGTGTCCCTAGTTGGACACCCGACATCGCCCTATAAGCCGATTTCATGTCACAGATCGTCCCGCAGCATGAACTTTGAAAGCATTTCCTGAGATCGGTGTACGCCTATGCACCCTCTATGAACCCCAAAGTGCTTGAACCCTGATTCTAGGCCCGCCGACAAACCCTGAACCTTAAACCCTAAAAGCCAGGGTTTACGAGAATAAGGGACCCCGAATATAGACCCCAATGAGTAGACCTCAATAAGGTACCCCTTATTCAATAATTGGGAAACCCCCCAATTGGGTGGAGGCCTCCGGAGAAAGGCGGAGCGCCACCCACGCCTTTGATGAACACGTCGCTCCAGGCAGGGCCATTCTCGTTCAAGGCTTAGCTCAACAGGAATCACGAAGAGTGGCCACAAGCAATGAAACGAAGGTTCAGCCCTTGTGTGCTTTGCAACGACTACCGGAGTTGCAGCCAAGAGTCTTGCTTGGAAAGGCAGTGCGGAGGCAAGCGCACCCTGCAGTGATGACCCCGAAGGTGCAGCGGCTTGTTTGTGCTTCGGCCGGGACGCAGGTTTTTGAACCATGATGGTTTATGGTTTAGGGTTCAGGGTTTAGGGTTTAGGGTTCAGGGTTTGGGGTTTAGGGTTTAGGGCGGGGTGGGGTGGGGGGGTAAGAGGGGCGTTGACCATGCTAGGCTTCGCAAAGGCGCCTCCTCTTCATTTCACTACTGTGCAAGCGGGCTTCCAGTCATGCGCGTACCATGCCCTAAACCCTAAACCCTAAACCCTAAACCCTAACCCCTAAACCCTAAACCCTAAACCCTAAACCCTAAACCCTAAACCGACGGCAAGAAAATCTGCACGCTGATACGTTTTTTCCTTGTTCGCAGTGGCCCTCAAAGTCAGTTTTTGTCAAGGGGCCCCTCGGATCCATTCTCCCCACCCCTCCTTCCCCCCCTCCCGCCGCCCCTCCCGTTAGGGTTTAGGGTTTTAGGGTTTAGGGTTTAGGGTTTATAGGGTTTAGGGTTTAGGGTTTATAGGGTTTATAGGGTTTAGGGTTTAGGGTTTGGAAGCAGTTGTCCATGAGGGATTGAGTTGGATTGTGTTCGCCAGGTCTACGCGCCAACGCCGAGGGCACGGCACTGAGGAGCTCTTGCAACTCCAGAACTTCAAAGCTCTGTTAACCCTTACTAAAACTCCAGAGACAAGCCGAACCCTGAACCCTCTTTAAAACCTTATTATATATCAACCTAAACCCTAAACCCTAAGCCCTAAACCCTAAACCCTAAACCCTAAACCCTAAACCCTAAACCCTAAACCTTATTATATGTCAAAACCTCAACCGTCTAAAGGCGTAGAAACCTTAGTGAATCAACCCAGCCTTAGGTCGTCTTTTTCGCTAGGGCTTTGTGTTCTGTAGGGGAACTCTTGGGGTTCAGAACGTACGTTCCCCATAACCCTAAACCCTTGGTTGTAAGGGGCCCGTACTTAGGTATATAGGGGCTCTGCAATGGGGTCGATCTGGGTCCCTCCTTATACCCCTTAGCTAGCTTGAGGTGGCCGTGCCTCCCATGCCAGGGCAACGGCCGTGGCTTTGGCTTGTTTGCATGGGGACATGGTTTAGGGTTTAGGGTTTAGGGTGTAGGGTTTAGGGTTTAGGGTTTAGGGCCGGCGTGGAGCCAAGAAGCTTCAGTGAGTATGAGATGATGACATAAGTTGTTGCTGAAGGGCGAGCCTGAATTTTGGTTCCGGGGGCCGCCAGAAGCAGATGTAGTGGTGCTCCAAGATTCAGTTTTGTCGAAAGGTAAGAACCACAGTGTTCTTCACGCGCCTCCCGCGGCCTTTTGAAAGTCCTGAGTAGAAGCTACCACCCCAGAAATAGTACCCTAAACCCCAAACCCTAAACCCCAAACCCCAAACCCTAAACCCTAAACCCTATTTCTACGTGGCAAGAAGAATGCAAGCAACCATGGAATCACAAGGCAGCTGTTCGGAGCGACCTAAACCCACAGAGAGCCACGAGGTAGGTTCACTTTCGTGCAAGGATTCCTCATCCCTAAACCCTAAACCCTAAACCCTAAACCCTAGGCCATCCCTGTTAAAGGGGCCTGCAAAAACGGTTTGAGGGCTGTTGAGTTGAGGGGTTTAGGGTTTATAGGGTTTCTGGGGCTAAAAAGGTGTACAGGGTGTATAGGGCTTATAGCTGATATAGAGCTTATAGGAATTTATTGGGTCTATTGTGGGGCTTGTGGGTTTACAGGGCTTTGTAGGGTTTATAGGGTTTACGGTGCTTAGAGTGTTTAGGGTAGACCCGAAAGGGCAGTTTATTCCGTGTTCTGGAGCTCCAATAGCCCCTAAACCCTAAACCCTAAACCCTAAACCCTAAACCCTAAACTTATAAACCCTAAACCCTAAACCCTAAACAGCGCCTCATTCCTTCAGGCCCTACTGGACGCCTGGCATGCTTCAGCTTCCTGGGTCAATCAGGCCACAACCCCCGCAGCTTTTGAAAGCATCCACTGACCTACTACTTTTTTGGAGTTTAGGGTTTAGGGTTTAGGGTTTAGGGTTTAGGGTTTAGGGTTTAGGGTTACTTCTTCGGCACCCTGTAGAATCAAGAAAGGGCGCCTGATGAATGAAGTTCACGGCACGCGCTAGAACTGTAAGGCATTGGAGCTCCAAACACGGAATAAACTGCCCTCTCGGGTTTACCCTAAAGCCTCTAAACCCTCTAAAGCCTCTAAAGCCTCTAAAGCCCTATAAACCCTATAAACCCCCTTCTAGGCCCAGTAACCCTATAAACCCTGCAAACGCCGTGTAACCCCTAAGCCCGATGGTTTAAGTACTGCCCTCGAGGGTGTCGCCCTGCATGTCGCCGGCAATACCACCGCCGAGGCCTTGCCTGCTTAAAGGGTTCGATGCGCTGTTGGGAATACCGAACTGAACCACAAGCAGAGCACTGAACCAACCCAGGGCTTTCAGCAAATTTCTCTCAGGCGCGCAGCCCTCAGTGTTAAAGGAGCTTATCAGCATTCAAGGTTGCCGATGGCCTTCACCCCCCCTAACCCCCGCCCCAAAGGCCCCGAACACTAAACCCTAAACCCTAAACCTTAAACCCTAAACCCTAAACCCTAAACCCTAAACCTGTGTGGATGGCATCCCTGCAGCTACTTGCTCAAAAAAAATGTCTGCTTTTCAAGCCCAATGCCCAACATCGGAGCGAGGCAGATACCCTGATCGGGCTGAGATGGGTCGAATGAACAGCATGTCTGCCTTCTTCGTTTAGGGTTTAGGGTTTAGGGTTTAGGGTTTAGGGTTTAGGGTTTAGGGTTTAGGGTTGCGCTGCTCAAGTGTTGTTCCGGTTGCACCTACCCTAGGGTCCCGAGGGCTGTGACTGCGCCTAGCCTTAGCGAAAGACTGCACATGATCACGGCCGCACTGCAACTTCTCACGAAATTCAGAGCCCCAAAGGATCCCCCGAAGCGCGGCAGCCATGCGAGTTCTCCAGGCTGCATGCCTCTTTCTCGGGCCCGACGCCGGGCCAATTTTTTGGTCGCCTAGTCCCTGTCTTGAATCCCCAGAAAAAAGCATCGGTATGTGGAAAGGAAGAGAAATGAAATCAATTCTAGGGGTACGAACATGAAGGACCCCTTTTGTAGGAACCCCAAGTAGCAGGATTCCCTTCTAAAAGAAGGGCCCCGATAAGGACCCCCATTAAGGTGCCCCTAATTTCGGAACCCCCCTAAACCCTAAACCCTAAACCCTAAACCCTACACCCTAAACCCTAAACCCCCATATATACATCGGGCCTGAGGTCTTTGCAACTGGTTCCAAGATGCCCCTTCTTGGGAGTTTTGACAGCGGTTGAATTGGGGCTTTGAGCAAGTCTTAGGGTTTAGGGTTTAGGGTTTAGGGTTTAGGGTTTAGGGTTTAGGGTTTAGTGGAGCTGGTTCATGGCCAGCTTGAAGGAATTGGCTTACACATGGGGGGTTTCCAAAATTAGGAGTAGCTTAATTGGGGGTCCTTTTTTAGAAGGGAATCCGACAGTTTTTTGGGGTATGCATTAGGGGGTCCCTTAGGTTCGTAAACCCTCACATCGCCATTCGTGAATATGTCATGTCACCGGACTCGGGATTCGGGGATCTGCAGGGCTAGAGGCGAGGCTGCAGCGAGCCAGAACACAGAGGAAGTGTGTGTGTGTGTGTGTGTGTGAACGGCAAGTCCGGAAGGTGTTGCAACAGCTACAACACGAGGCCGTTCAATGGAGCCTAAACCCTAAACCCGAAACCCTAAACCCTGAACCCTAAACCGGCTGTAGCCTGAGGAGATCGCCTTGGGCTTTGTTCAGCCACAGCAGCCAGCTGTCCGGCATGCATTGGCAGCTCCACATGCAACTCGGCGTAGACCAGAATGGGCTATTCGGCCTTAAAAACCCCCATCATCAACCTATAAGCCCTAAGCCCTAAACCCTAAACCCTAAACCCTACACCCTACACCCTAATCAACCTGTAAAGGGCCTTCTTGAGGGGTGCTAGAGGGTATGATGGCCCCCATCCTGGGAATCTGAAGCGCAGGATCCCTTGTGGAAGCATCATGTTCTTGATTCTTTAGCCTTGCTGGTTCTTAGTCGCTCCCCTTTCATTCCCCGGTTTCGGGTTTAGGGCATAGGGTGTAGGGTTTGGGGTTTAGGGTTTAGCCCTGACACTCTGATGGAGCGAAGTTGAATCACAGCGCAGTTTGCGTCGACTTTTTCTTCACTGGATTCAAAGCGGGTCTGGCCGGGGGTCATGTATAGCAAAACAAGCTGAACGAGATGAAGTGGGTACTTTGCCCTTTGCCCAACCCGAAACCCCAAATCCCTAAACCCTAAACCCTAAACCCTAAACCCTAAACCCTAAACCCGCCCTACAGTCAGTCCCCAGTCGACGGAGTCTAGGCGTCCCAGAAGCGAACCGCGGTGGTTCGGCATTCTGTTGATTTGGTCAAGGACCTTGGGCCTTGCTGAGAATTCGATTTCCAATATGAATTAGTTTCCCATGTGCAATCAATGTATTATATCGATTAGGGGTGCATGTGTCTCTGTTTTTTGGGGTGTTGAATTTAGGGTTTAGGGGTTTAGGCTTATACCTCTTAGTGAAAATTATTGTTATTCTCTTGAGTTCAGTAGTAAGTATGATCGGTATTGTTAGTATTACGGTCATTGCTTGTCATCGTTGTTATTGTTGTTGCTGTGGTTTGTGTTGTTGCTCTTGTTGTTATTTGTGTTATTGTATGTTTGTCATGGCAATTGTGATTCTTAGTGTTACTTCTGTTTCTTGTTGTACCAGATATTGACAGGTTCGGACTTCGCGGACTTCAGAGCATTTGGCTTGAGGGTTTGACGAAGCGGGTTCCGGCTTCCATTGGGCAAATACTTCATCATCCGACGGACCCTCAACCCTAAACCCTAAACCCTAAACTCAGCTAGTACAGGTCTGAATGCCCTTTCTTCTTGGGCTTCAGGAAGCGGAATTCCTTCACTGGGCTTCCCCTGTGCTTCTTGTCGACTTTTCTGAACGGTTCTGATTGAGCCCGGCGAGCATCCGTGTCATCTCCACATGAACCCAGGGCTGAGGCCCCTAGACTCGGATGCGAAGTGCTAGCCTGGGCACCAGAAAACTACCAGAACACCCAGCTTTGGCCTGCTTAGCTTACTGCTGGAAATTCCAGCAAAGGATGCAACACGGGTGCTCATGGCAGAGCCCCCCCCCAACCCCCCCAAAACCCCTAAACCCCAAACCTTTTTCGAGTTTACTGCAGGAGCCCGCCCCGAATCTCGGTCGAGCCTACGGCGTTTTTGGGTTCCTGTGGCCCGGCTGGCACGTCTGGTGAGGCGATGCTTTTGTAATGTTTCCGCACGATAGGCTGCCCGACAAAGGCCTGGAGCTCTACTTTGCACTGAGCTGCCGGTCGTGCTGCGATGACTCTGCTACTTCTAACTCAGGTCCATGGCTGCCTGGACAGCCGCAGCGGTGGTTGCGCTTTCTTCACATCCAAAGCACGGCTCTCAGGGAGTCCATAACATGAGTTAAGAGCAGCTTAATGGAGCTTCCAGTGGGGATCTGTGAAACCATGCCTTGCCTTTTTGGGCCTACTGCATTCGAGTCGCAGGCTGCGCCTGCCGATGCGCCACAATGTGTTGACCATCGCGCAGGCCATTGGGAGGATAAGATCAAAGCAGGTTGGGTGTTCTTGACATCCTACTACAAGGCCACGAGTCCTCTAACCTCTGGGACAGCTACTAAACTGAGTGATCCTTGGCAGGGTTTCAGACTTCGGTGTTCCTGTGCTTCTAGCATGTCGGGTCTGTGCGGAGGATCTGACAAAGCCTATACTCTAGCATCACTTGAAGTCGCACCTCGGCATAGAGCTGTGTGTGAAAGTCCTTGGAGTCCGTGGTGTGTTGGGGAGCTGGAGCCATCGCAGTGGTGTGCTCGACCCAGAAACCTGGAGTGCGAAGCTGCAGGCGTTGGCACAGCTGCCAGTGGGGGCCTCCGTGTTTCTTTCGTTGATGCGATCCGCCAGCATCTTGGCCTGACTACTATGTCTTGAAAGGTGCATCGCCTTCGTAAATTCGCACCCCCGCTCCCCCGCCCCGCCGGTTTCTTTCTTTGTTGACCTGCCTGCTTTGGATTCCTGTCTTGCCTGCCCAGGCACGGAGGGGTGGTGGGCCATGAACAGGACCGCCGTGTTATGCCGCTGCGTATTGAGCTCAGGTGAGGGATTTTCACAGCCGTGTCCCAGTGTCCCAGCGTGCAAAGCGCACAGGGGCATCCCAAGATTATTGGACCGCGCGACAGGCACAGCTAGTATATGCTAGTATTCCCTGGTGTCGGTGTTTTGCAGTGTGTGGCGGGGATGCAAGGGATTCGTGTGCAAGAAAACTCACCTCACTGCTATGAAAAGAACTTGTGTAGTTGCTCTTAATGACCAAGATTCGAAGGATGACGTACCGGCGCCTAAATCTCGGCCTGGTGTGTGCTTCGCTGCTTGGCACATTTCCTTGGGGTGAGGGCTCAGGGTTGATGTCTACATATTATATATATATATATATTGCGTAGTATATAGAATGCGTAGTACTTTTCTACTATATGTATACATATATATATATAATACATACATGTATATAAATATAAATAAATAAATATAAATATAAATATAAACATATATATATATATACATATATATATATATACATACATATAGGGTTTGAGCGTACAGGCCTTGAAGCTGAAGGGTTCCAAGCCGTAAAGCCGACCATGCTTCTCCCACTCGCTATTCAGTTTGCAGATCCCTAAGATTTGTTCTGAGAGAGTGGCCTTAACGTAACCTATACTTCTGGCAAGACCCTAAACCCCAAACCCGAAACCCGAAACCCGACACCCCAAACCGCCCAAACCCTAAACCCCCAACCCTAAACCCTAAACCCCAAACCCTAAACCCTAAACCCTAAACCCTAAACCCTAAACCCTAAGCCTTAAACCTTAAACCTTAAACCCAAATCAAGGGAGTTATCTCAGGCTGTGGCTTGCAGCTGCCGCCTGGTTCGGGCCCGCCTTCGCCGCCGGCTCCCGGGACAGGAACTGGGTAGTGCTTTGGGATAGTTTAGGGTTTAGGGTTTAGGGTTTAGGGTTTAGGGTTTAAGGGAACCTATTCATAACACAATTTCAAATGGCTTTAAAGCACCACTCAGGGAAGCAGCGGTCTTCCGAGGCGATAGTTTTGAGGCCGCGGATCGCATGACTGCTGTAGGGTTTAGGGTTTAGGGTTTAGGGTTTAGGGTTTAGGGTTTAGGGTTGGGGGTTGGGGGTTTAGGGTTTAGGGTTGAGGTCCTTATTCTTAAGTGTTTTGTTGGG